GGTGTATGAAGACCGAGTACCAGGGCCGTGGCACCCCGCACTGGCACATCTGCGCGTGGGTTGTATGCTTTGGGCTGTTGCAGAATCTCCAAGGGCGCACTGGGACGGCTGTCGTGTCGGCATTCGTAAAGTTCCTCTCGCTGGTATTCTGCGCCGAGATAGATGTTCAGATAGGCAACGGCCGTTTGAACTACATCTCCGGGTATGTGGCGAAGGACCATGATGCCGTCGACGTGGGGCTCGGCGAGTATGTGCAGAAGAATGCAAACAGCTCCTGGCTGACCGCGCATCGCTTGCTCAGCAAGAGCAGCCCGTGCTTGCCGGAAGTGGCGATCCGTATGGCGCAACTGTCGGAATTTGAGCGGTCCTACTCCCATGTTTTGCTGTATCCACCGCAGCCTGCAGCCATGCTGAATTATGACGGGCGGCAAGGAAACTTTTCCTCGAGGATGTATGGTTTTTATCTTCAGGAGAAGAGGGAGCAGCTGGTCGCAGGGACTCCCGTATCGGAGAGTTTCTTGGCATGGCACCGTGGCAGGGAGTATGACACCTCGAACCACTGCGCACAGTTCCGTGGCGGCAGACATCAGCAAAGGTATGCATCCACGCAAGTGGTCGCCTGCAGGTACTGGTACGAGCTGACGGACGGTTATTGGGGCCAGCATTCACTGACTGTGCCGCCGCATGTATACGCTGCACAATTACTCCCTCGGACGTTCAAACACCTGGACAGTATGAAGAACTTCGTGGGCATGATCGAGTATCTCATGTCCTGGAAGTGGGCCGACACTGCTGGTATCGTGGAGACGTCGTGTGAACTGAAATTCCATAATCATGCGCTGCCGATGCGAGTGGGTGAGGACGGCCAGATACTATCATTCGGATCGGAGTATACTGCTGGAGGGTCTGTATTTGCCAATGATAGGGCAGCATTCGAGTACCTGCTCTCGCTGGCCCGACGCGATCTGCATTTTCGAGGTATGCGCGATGAGCGTGTCGGTTGCTTCGAGCAGAAGCAACACGCTAATTTTCTGCTGTATATGCGTGTTGCTCAATGCGATAACGAGCCAGAGTACGAGTGCCTCCGGCAGGCGTGGGATATCTTGAATAGGCCGAAGTATCAGCAGCGCACCTGGAGTCCAGAGCAGGCTGACGCCATCGAACGGGTCAAGAAGGGTGTATCGCTGGAGGACGAGGAGGAGAAGCAGAACAGTAAGCGTTTCTTGTATATCAGTGGACCACCAGGCAGTGGGAAGACGGCAGTATTGCTGGAGCTTGCCATTTGGGCATGTGAGTCTGTTCAGGTCTTGATCGTGTGCCCCACCGGGTATCTCGTGCACCAGTGCAAGTCCACGCTGCCAGACAGACCTGGTATTGAGAACATCCGAGTGGACACCACACAAGGAGTCCTGAAGTATAAGAGGGCCGGGAAGGACGGGAAGGTCCGCTGGGCCCCACCCTCGGCTTTGAGAGGTATTGATTTGATTCTTTGCGATGAAGGCAGCCAGTATGAAGACCAGGAATGGATGCGTTTTTTCGCCGCGGTGCGGGAGCAGCCGCATAAACCCTTCACTGGTATCGTGGCCGATTTTAAGCAGTTGCAGCCAGTATTGAGCGGGGGGCAATGCGAGCACTTCTGCAACCAAATGGACAGGGTTGAATTGAAGACAGTGTATCGCACCGCAGACCAGCAGCACCTGGTTTTCCTGAACCGTATACGCGAGGTTCAGCCAGATCGTTTGTGTTTGACAGAGTATTTTGGCGACCGGCACTGGCAGCATGAGTACTTGGAGGCTTGTGTTGAGCGCGGTATGGCGTTGGCGGCGGAGAAAGGACATCCGTTTTCTTGGCTGACGTGTACGAACGCAGGCTCGGCAGAGGTATGCAGAGCGGCTCTGGCATTACTCGGCATTAGTGAGGCCGATCTGCAAAAGGGTGGGTATTCCGATCCCACCACGAAGTCCAACTTACGCATTTTGGCCAGACCTGGTATCGTGATTCGCCTCAGTCGGAACTTTGACAAACAGCGAGGCTTTGTCAATGGGGCGTTGGCCACGGTATGAGAGTCGCTTCGTGGAAACTCTGTGTTTACAGCCAGGCTGGCGGGCACGGGCAACATGGCATTGGTGCACCCCATCGAGGAGAATGGGGAGATCTTCCTGCCCTGCTGCTACGGGTATGCGACCACGGTGCGTCGAGCGCAGGGCGCGGATCTCTTTCACGGCTGTATTTACTTCGAGCAGAAGAAGAGAGTGGCTACGAGAGGGTATGGCTACGTTGCCTGCAGTCGCTTAAAGTCCCGCGAGGGCTGCTATGTCTTCGGCAAGCTCCGCCGCAGTGACTTCCTCCCGGCTGGGCTTGAGAAGGCCGGCGAGATTCTGGAGCGTGGCTATGACTCGGTATCGTCATCTGACGACGAGGGGAAAGGCCTGGAGTATGCCTGTGCAGATCAAGGGGAGTATGACGCGGACCCTGTTCTGTCTATGGATATGGGCAACAATCTCTTGGACTTCCTCGTGAGCACAGAGGATACGGCAGATGTATCCAAGACCGAGTGCCAACGTATCCTGGCAGAGTTTGCTGCAGGTGCCAGTGCGGAGGCTGCCGATGCGCCAGTGTATGAAGAGCTTCCAGTGAGGGAGGAAGAGTGGGGCGAGAACGGTGAGCTGCTCGTATACGGCGGCACGGCAACGCCGGAATGATCTATGACGTATGGTGCCGGACGTTGAAAAAACCGTACACGCGCGCATGTGTGTAACATGTCGGCCTAATACCATATCTATTGTACGTATCATGGCCCGGATGTATCGCGTGGATCGAGTATCATATGTTCGGCAACAACTACACCATGTGCTCCATATGTACCACGTGTATCACAGATATCAGGTGCAGCATGCGTGTTATTCATCATGTGCAAGCGTTGCGTCTGTCTATTCTTGTGACTTTGTCTCATGTCAATCATATTTATCATGTGCAACATGTATCATATATAACAAATGCATGTGTTTGAAATTTGCCCCAAAAATGTGACCAATTGTTGTGTGTCTTCGTCTCATGTTTGTTTTATCATGTGCAATATGTATCATATACAACAAATGCATGTGTCTGAAATTTGCCCCAAAAATGTGATCAACTGTTGTGTGTCTTTGTCTGATGTCTACCTTTTTCATGTGCAATATGTATCATATACAACAAATGCATGTGTCTGAAATATGCCTCTGAAATATGCGAAGCGTGAATCCGGGGCTCGATGCCAGGACTGGGGCAGAGCTGCTGAATGGAGTGGAGCTTGCGGATCGTATTGGCCACTTTTCTTCGGGCAGCATTGCCATTCTGCGTCAGTTTCGAATTGGTTAAGTGGGGTATGAACACAGCGTCTCCGGTCCGCTTCTAAGCTGGAGTCCAAGTGCATGCCTTCATAGAAAAAAAAACATGTCCTCCAAGAGGGCCCCAAGAGCGCCCCCAAGGCTCCCAAGAGCGCCCCAAGAGGGCCTGAAGAGGCCCCCAGGAGGTCCCAAGAGGCGCCCAAGAGGCGCCCAAGAGGCGGCCAAGAGATCCCCAAGAAGCTCCAAGGTGTTCCCCGAGGCACCCAGGATGCTCCAAGAGGCCCCCGGGTCACGCGAGGAGGCCCCCAAGACGACCCAAGAGGCTTCTACTTGCCCAAGATACATCCGAGTAGACTCCGAGAGGCATTCAAGAGGCCTCTGGCTCTTCTGATACCTCCTCCTCCTCCACCTCCCTTCCTCAGCCTTCTCCTCATCCTCCTCCTCCTTCTCCTCCTCCTCCTCCCCCTCCTCATCGCCATCACCAACACCACCATCACCATCGCCATCACCGTCACCACCATCAGGAAACATCCACCATCACCAACACCACCATCACCATCATCATCACCATCATCACCATCACCACCATCACCATCACCATCACGAAACAACAACAACAACGACGACTTGTCTCTGTGAGTTGTTCATAGGCACTTTGGCTCAAGAGGGGGTTATTCTTGGCCACGTATTGCCTTGGCATGGACTCCGCAGGGTATTTTTTCTTGCTCTCCTTTGTATTACTGCGTTTCACCGGAGGTCAGGCAGGAGTACCTGTCGTATGTGACTACCTTTTGGATCAGTGGAGTGTATTCGTCGAGGACTTCGATTCATTTTGTTGTGGACTCGTGCGGCACTGCGAGGCAGTATGCAAAGAGAGGGGATGCTCGTATTTGGCCCATCGGGAAGGTTTGCACATTGCGTATTCTGGATTGAACTTCATTCGCACTCTTCGCAGGGCTCGTATACGACGGCGCCTTGTTGCATTTGCGGAGAAGTGGGCGCACGTAGTATCGGGGCTTCAGCGTCCCCGTGTGGTGGGCGCCTCGGTCGCGAGCGCTGACATCATGGCCATGGGGGACAGTAGCCCGGACTATGTGGCCGTGGCTGTTCAGAAGAACCAGGTGAAGATGGCAGGTAAGTATAACAGCATGGACTGTATGCGGTGTTTTATGCACATGCTTGAGTTTTGCATGGGCTGCACGCCAACGGAGTACCGAGGAGCTGCATCAGTGGTTTCTGAAGCGGCAGTGTCGGAAGTATGGACGCGATGCTGCGGCGGAGCTCGCGTATTTTGGCGTGGTGTCCTGCGACAGTATGACCACAGCATTGGGTCGTATGAGGAAGGCTCTAAACACCACGTCTCAAGTGAGTGCCGCGACCATGTATGTATTGTTCTGCGAGACGCGGCAGGCTATCAATAGGTATTCGCTGCATGGTCTTTGGTACCTCATTGAGCTGTATGACAAGAGGAAGTCTGTGCGGGCAAACGTTTCGCGTGTCCGAAATGGGCTAGCATACAGTGTATCCACGCGTTCTCACACAATTCAGGTTTTGGAGGAGATCCGCAGCTGTGTGGGTGTATCACTCGCTGTGCTGCGGAAGTTACCCTCCAAACGCGCTGGCGGACCTTTGGAGGTGGCGTTTCAGATGGGTCGCCGCCGTTTGTGTCCCAAGGTTGAATTGGACGGTATTCCAGAGTTCCGTGTGCTCGCGAGTTGTCTGAGCGTTGTGACTCAGAAGGTCCAGCACACACAGCAGTATCGCGGCTTGGTCAAGGCCGCGAAGGGTCTGGGTATCAAGTACGCGAAGTCGCATACTAAGAAGAAGCTCGCGGTGCTGGTGCAGCGCGGTATGCAGTAGCCTGCAGGCACGGGGGCGCGGAAGAGGAGTCACGAGGAGCTGGTGTCCGCAGTGCACGCTCGCGGCGGCTCCGAGTATGAAAGAATGAAAATGCAGGGAAGGTGGATCACCAGACGAGTATCCAAAGTCAAGTTGGAAGCGTTGCTGGCTAAACCCCGAGGGCGGTGTTCATTTGTATAGTTGCATGTTGTCTGACACAGTGGTCGACCAGAACAGTATGAAAGAAGAGCATACAGCAGCAATGACATACACATATACATACATACACACATGTAAACATACTAGTTCGACGCGCATAGCCATTCTTTACACATAGACCTTACCTACACAGTCACATACACATACACATGCGTACGTCGAGACATGCACTGAGAGTTACATATCGTCGTATGAATGACATACATACATTTTTACATAGCTACACACATACAGAATTACATGCAGACATACATGCATGCATAGAAAGAGTATTTTCACTGACCTGTTCCAAAAAATGTGACCGCCTTTGTTGTGCACGCGTTGGCTCCCTACGCGTGTATCTCCGACAAAGAGCAAGGCTGGTACGTATCATATATAACCGACATGCTGCCTCTCCAAACTGGCCCAAAAATGGGGGCTGTTGGGGTCATCTTGGGGTGGAGGACTAGAAGGGTCTGTTCGGGTTCACCCTCTTGAGGCCATCTTGGGGGCCTCTCGGGGTCGTCTTGGGGGGCCTCCAGGGCTATGCTGGGGTCCTCTTGGACCGTCTTGGCTCCTCTTGGGGGGCTCTTGGTCTGTCTTGGGGCGATCTTGGGGGCCTCTTGGACCGTCTTCGGCGCTTCTAAGACGGAACAGGCGATAATGTTAAAATGCTTTGTGTTGCGACTGTGTCTCATGTGTATCATGCGTCTCCCATTGCAGCCATATAATCTCACAGCTGGCGCGGCAGTGCCAGTCTTCCCACTCGGAAGTATATTCCCTGCGGTTTCGTCCCAATCGGTCGCAATGAGCCTCGACAGTGGTATGGCCACTGACTTCGCGATGTTGGTGCCAGGGACGCAGCCGGGCGCCCCGGCCACGGCGGAGAAGGCGAAGGACCAGAAGAAGCGGGAGTGGCTGAAGGTATTCGAGACGTTACCGTCGCAGTTGCTCAACGTATACGGGCCTTCCAAGTTCGCGAAGTTATCGGACAAGCAGGTATGGAATGAGATGCAGGAGCCGCTGAAGAGTGGGGCCGTATGGATGTCGGAGATGTGCAGCAAGGAGCCGGAGCGGAGGGGTGTCGGTATTAACCGTTTCATTCACGCGATGAAGACCTTCTGCGAGTATCAAAACGATCCCACGGTACAGGCGGCGAACAAAGCGGTATTGAACCCGACGATGTATGAGGAGTTCTACAGAGAGATTGAGGAGATCCTGCCGTCCTTGCAGCATTGCCTGGCACCCAAGAAGCAGTATGAGAAAAGGGGTGCTACCGCCCTGCGCGCGAGCGGCATGGACGAAGCAGTGCTGCCGGACACGAAGACTGAGCCGGCATTGGACCAGCATGCGAAGAAAGTGTATGACTGGCTCGACAAGGGTAAACTTTCGCGAGTGCGTATGACGGCCCATTGGCAAAGCTGTGGGGGGTTGGCATTCGTGGCTCAGTGTCACCACAGGGCCGCCACCTGTTTCAGGTATCACGGGAACAGTTTTCACGGAGCTGGTCCAACGCAGCAGGAGGTATCACATCAAGAGTTCCAGGCTGCTGTGAAGGTCCGTCATGCGTTGGGCCACAACGGCATTGACGTGGAGGCGGTGGGCTCACAGGGCTCCGCCGTCAACGATTTCGGCACTGCCTGATGGCACGGTACATGAGTAATTTTCCAGAGTCGTGCGTGCACACTGGGGAGGCAGGGGCTTCATGCATTTAGACCGGGGTATTGCTTCTCTGCATCTCGGGAGTGTATATATGAAGTGTGCGGGAGTGGCAAAACAAAATGTCCCAAACAATGAGACCACCTGGTCTGTGGGTGTATGTGCCCCACAAACTTGTTAGTGAGTTTCAGTTGTCCTATCATGTTTTTCTCTCATGTTTATCATATGTGTCATCTGCAATATGTATCATATATAACAAATGTATGTGTCTGAAATTTGCCCCAAAAATGTGAGCAATTGTTGTCTCTGTCTCATGTCTATCATATCATGTGCAATGTGAACCATATATAAGAAGTGCATGTGTCCGAAATTTGCCCCAAAAATGTGACCAACTGTTGTGTGTCTTTGTCTCATGTCTATCATATTTATCATGTGCAATATGTATCATATAGAACAAGTGCATGTGTCCGAAATTTGCCCCACAAATGTGATCAACTGTTGTGTGTCTTTGTCTCATGTCTATCATATGTATCATGTGCAATATGTATCGTATATACCAAATGCATGTGTCTGAAATTTGCCCCAAAAATGTGATCAACTGTTGTGTGTCTTTGTCTCATGTCTATCATATGTATCATGTCAATATGACTCATACATAACAAATCCATGTGTCTGAAATTTGCCCCAAAAATGTGACCAACAGTTGTGTGTCTTTGTCTCATGTCTATCATATCATGTGCAATATGTATCATATATAACAAGTGCATGTCCCCGAAATTTGCCGTAAAAAAGTGACCAACTGTTGTGTGTCTTTGTCTCATGCCTAATATATTCACGTGCAATATGTCTCCTACATAACAAATGCATGAGGCCGAAATTTGCCCCAAAAATGTGACCAACTGTTGTGTGTCTTTGTCTCATGTCTATCATATGTATCATGTGCCATATGTATCATGTATGACAAATGCGTGTTTCTGAAATTTGCACCAAAAATGTGATGAACTGTTGTGTGTCTTTGTCTCAGGTCTATCATATGTATCATGTGCAATATGTATCATATATAACAAAGGCATGTGATCGAAATTTGCCCCAAAAATGTGACCAACTGTTGTGTGTCTTTGTCTCATGTCTTGCAAACCATGTGCAATATTTATCATCTATAACAAATGCATGAGTCTGAAATTTGCCCCAACAATGTGACCAACTGTTGTGTGTCCTTGTCTCATGTCTAGCATTATCTAGTGCAATATGTGTCATATATAACACATGCATGCGTTTGAAATTTGCCCCAAAAATGTGACTAACAGTTGTGTGTCTTTGTCTCATGTCTATCATCTGTTTCATGTGCAATATGTATCATATATACCAAATGCAATCCGAAATTTGCACCAAAAATGTGATCAACTGTTGTGTGTCTTTGTCTCCGGTCTATCATATGTATCTTGTGCAATATGAGTCATGCATAACAAAAGCATGTGTCTGAAATCCCCACAAATGTGACCAACTGTTGTGTGTCTTTGTCTCATGTCTATCATATGTATCATGTGCAATATGTATCATATATAACAAGTGCATGTGTCCGAAATTTGCCCCAGAAATGAGACCAACTGTTGTGTGTCTTTGTCCCATGTCTATCATATCATGTGCAATATGTATCATGCATAACAAATCCATCAGTCCGAAATTTGCCCCAAAAATGTGAGCAACTGTTGTGTGTCTTTGTCTCAGGTCTATCATATGTACATGTGCAATATGTATCATATATAACAAAGGCATGTGTCCGACGTTTGCTCCAAAAATGTGACCAACTGTTGTGTGTCTTTGCCTCATGTCTATCATATGTATCATGTGCAATATGTATAATATATAACAAAGGCATGTGTCCGAAATTTGCACCAAAAATTTGACCAACTGTGGTGTGTCTTCGTCTCATGTCTATCATATCATGTGCAATATGTATCATGTACAACAAATGCATGTGTCTGAAATTTGCCCCAAAAATGTGACCAACCGTTGTGTATCTTTGGTCTCATGTCTATCATATCATGTGCAATATGTATCATATATAACAAATGCATGTGTCTGAAATTTGCCCCAAAAATGTGACCAACTGTTGTGTGTTTTTGTCTCATGTCTATCATTTGTATCATGTGCAATATGTATCAATTGTATCATGTGCCAATATGTTGACAAATCTGCATGTGAGTTTGAGTTGTCTTATCAGTGTGAGAACCCCGTTTTGAAACAGGAGCCGCCCTCAACCTCATCCTCCCTCTCTGGCCCCCCCCAGCCCCTAGAGGCCTCGGGCCCCGCCTCTCACGGCGCCCCCCCTTGGGTCCCTCCAGTGCGCCCCATCGGGAACTCAAGCGAGAACACCGTTTTGAAACAGGAGCCGCCCTCAACCTCATCCTCTGCGCCCTCTCTGGTCCCCCCCAGCCCCTAGAGGCCTCGGGCCCCGCCTCTCACGGCGCCTCCCCTTGGGTCCCTCCAGAGCGCCCCATCGGGAACTCAAGCGAGAACCCTTTTTTGAAACAGGAGCCGCCCTCAACCTTATCCTCGCCTCTCTGGCCCCCCCCGGCCCCCAGAGGCCTCGGGCCCCGCCTCTCACGGCGCCTCCTCTTGGGTCCCTCCAGAGCGCCCCATCGGGAACTCAAGCGAGAACCCCGTTTTGAAACAGGAGCCGCCCTCGACCTCATCATCGGTGCCCTCTCTGGTCCCCCCCAGCCCCCAGAGGCCTCGGGCCCCGCCTCTCACGGCGCCTCCCCCTGGGTCCCTCCAGAGCGCCTCATCGGGAACTCCCTTTTTGAAACAGGGGCCGCCCTCAACCTCACCTGCTTGTGAGATTGAGTTGTCTGATCAGTGTGACACATGTATGTGCTTCGTTTCCGTTCGTATGGACTTTGGCACTTTCCCACGGCATCATTCGTTTGCCTTAGCCATTGGGGCCCCAGTCGTATTTCGCTTTTCGTATCTCTTTCCATATACACACGCGCGTCCGCATTGTTGGCAATGGCAGGGCAGTGGGACGAACAGACTGGGGAGTATGCCCCATCCAACGAGGAGGTGGCCGAGGGTATGAGGCGCTGGTCTATGTCACCCGGCGGGGACGGGTTGGTATTCCACTGGCTCAAGGCTCAGGAGAGACAAAAGTACCACTACCATCA